AATTAGATTTAAATGTGAGTCAAGCCCCAAGCTCATCTCTGTCAACCAAAACACACTCCAGCCAACTCAAGGTCAACTCAGCCAAACTGAGATCAACCAGGCCAACCCACAAGTTCATTCAGACCTAGCTCGGTTAGGTCCAACCCAACCAACTTGGGGCATTACGAAGGAATCCTAGGTCTAGATAGAATTGGTGAGAACCATGGGAGACTGTGTTAACAAAAAATGAAGTCAACATCTATTTAAGAAAGTAGCTCCAACTTTGCATGAACTTTAAATGGAGGTTGGTGACATGGTTGGCCATAATCATTCTCATATGTAAGTGCCTCCTACACGAGATCATCATCCTTCTTTACAATCATAGGAGCTTTTTTGCAACATGGGTTCACACCCCCGTTTTGGTTTTGAGCACTTAAAGTTAGGAGGGTCTTCTTATCTATGAGATTGGTCATATTGCTCTATAATGTCTGAAGTTTACTATTTGTGTTCTCTGTGGTAACAATAATGGCCTCCTTTGTGTGATTGGCAATGCTCAGTAGGACATGTTAAAGGTTTTTCATGATACTAATAAGCCAGGATTTGACACTTGGATATTTCCAGTTGATAGGACAATCATTATCATCTATTTTTCTATTTAATTTAAACGAGCCAATTTTGAGCCAAGCTCCAACAAGAATATGTGAATTGAACCTAACATGTACACAATGTTCACCAGCAATTTCGAAGACGAGTCAATTTCAAAGAAAATTAATTTCGAACGAGCCGAATACTAGCCATGTCTGTGCATGCTCAAGCTTGGCTTGTTTACAGCTTTATATGCTGGGTCTTCTTAATGGTAGCAATATAGCATTACAATACAACATTTTTTTTATTGAGTTGAAACAATCAATCATGGAAATTTTTAGAGAATATAATGTGATTGGTTAGAAAAACTTTACATGAGATGTTGATGAAACTTAGAATCTAGCATGCACAAGGAATTTACTTCATAGAAATTTATGTACTATTTGGTTTGGTGCATTTTAAATACAAAGTGAAAGAAATTCCATTTATTTTGACTTTAGCATTGAAGTTTGTTTGAATGTATTACAAATACTATGAAACAATTTTTTTTCTTTCTTATAATGAAATTTGAAAATATGTCACTTGTTGAAGTTAATGGTGGAGATGAGGTTGTTAGGTAGTCTGTTAGAAATTGTGAGGGCCAAGGGTGGAGGGTGGGTCATGAGGACAAAGATCGCGAGGGTGGAGAGCACCAATTGCAAGTTTACTTGTGAAAGGAATGGTGGCAGAGGCAATCATAACGGCTCAGGCTAAACAAAGGGGTGAGGTTGCGCAGATCTCCAGTGTCAAGCATAAAGGCAATGGAACAAGATTGCAGGCAATGTATTCTGAATTTGCCCAACTTTGGCTAATTTGGGATACGTTAAAAATGAACTAGTGGCTTATTTCAAAGTCCAGAACAAATTACTTTGCATTTGTTCATCTTTCAATTAAATACCCGAATTTTCAAATCCTCTACATTTTATGTACTCTACACTCTTAATACATCTAAACAAGTAACCCCTTAAAGAGTGGCAAATCATAGAAGCCTTAGAGATTTTTTACCTCTTGTATGTTTATTGTCAATCACTTATATTTTTTGCTTTATGATCATAAAATGATGATAAAAGGCATTGGTTGACATTAATTCAGAAAGCAAATGACAGCTATAATGCCCCGATCTTTCGAGGATAAGTGCAATCAGTGGTTGAAATAACAAAGTTATTGATTTCCTGCTTTGAAAATGATTTGCATGCTGGGATAGAGAGAGATGGAGAAGATTAGATTAGAGAGAGAGAGAGGAGAGGAGTCATTAGCTGAGTTTAAAGTAATAGTGCGCTTAATTAATTTTTTCCAAATTGCAAATACATAGGACTATTTATAGCCAAAACAGTTATTTATAGCCGAAATGATAAGTCAAAGTAAGTAGACCAACCTATCTCATCATCTAAGATAAGCTATTTGATAAGATACAACAACAACAACAACAACAACAAAGCCTTAATCCCACTACGTGGGGTCGGCTACATGAATCCTTTTTCTCCATTGCGTCCTATTTAGTGTCATATTTTCATTTAGTTCTAGTAAATTAAGATCATTTTTAATACAATAAGCCCAAGTCTTCGTAGGTCTACCTCTACCTTTCTTAACACAAGTCGAATTTAAAACATCTACTCTCCTAATCGGATCATCTAATGGTCGACGTTTAATATGACCAAACCATCTAAGATGACTTTCTCTAATTTT